TTCCAACACGGCTGATTCTATGATTCTGTGCTTCCAACACTGACTTTCGTCAACACTGTGACCAGAGTCTACTCAGCTAATACAATACATGTTTATAATGATTTTTTTTTTTAACATGCTACTAGACCATGGCACTAAGTGCCACATCCAGTCTCAGCTCGAAAACCTCCAGGAGTGGTGAATCCACCACCTCCCTGGGCAGCACATTCCAATGTCTGATCACTCTCTGTAAAAAAATGTCTTCCTAATATCCAACCTAACCCTCCCCTGGCAGAGCTTGAGTCTGTGCCCTCTTGTCCTGTGCTGGTTGCCTGGGAGAAGAGACCAACCCCCACCTGACTCCAACCTCCTGTCAGGGAGTTGCAGAGGGTGAGAAGGTCTCCCCTGAGCCTCCTCTTCTCCAGGCTGAACAATCCCAGCTCCCTCAGCCTCTCTTTATAGCACTTTGCTTCTGAATCATGAATATATAAGAGCTCAAGCCTGTTAAAACCAGCTTAAAAGCTGTAAAGCTTTGAAAGGAAAGCTGTTAACAGTCAGCCCCTGTGAGTGTCAGGGGTGTGTAAGGAGCCATATCTCAAACTTGGGCAGTCACAGCTCCAAGAGCTACACCGTGAAACACACAAGAGCACAACCTTCCTTTAGCCTGGACATATGTACAGCAGCACATTCTTCATTACACCACCCAGTAGTGCAGTCGTACACAGCTCCTGCCCCAAGCTCTGCTGCTGAGGATGCTGAGGGTAAGGGCTGTGAGAAACAGAATTGAGGAAATAAAGACATAAAATGCTTATTAAGCAATGACCTGTCCAAACACAAGGACACCCTTCACCTCTCAGACTTACAGTCCAAACCTTGCTGTTCAACAGGTAGAGGTGTTTTATTACTACTGATTTGCCAGAAACCCAGGAAATTGTTGAAACATAACCTTGCTAATACCCTGAAGTATATTTCAGTGTTCCTTTGCAGGAATTACTAAAATTTCAGTTAGTTCTAGCAGAAATACTGTCATGCTTATGTCTTTTAAAAGTCTTTCTGAAACTGACAAGTATTCTTACTCTTTCAGGCGACTGAATGCAGAATTAGAAGCCAAAACAGAAAAACTGGTGCGTCAGGCTGAAGAACTAATGGTGAGTAGGCTATGTAAACTTACATAATTCAGCCTTGATTCACATGCACACAGAGTTGAGCTTTAAAAGACATTTAGACCATGACTACTAAAAGTATTTTGCTGTCAAATGCAATGCCAGCTTTAACTTTTTTTTCAGAGTTGTATACTTCTACTAAAAACACATAAAAAATTAGGTTTTATATAGTTTCATTAGATGAATATAACATGTGTGCAGATATATACATAAAACCACATAATAAACTTATTTAGTTAAGAAAAATATTGGTAGGTCATTTTATATCTTATATACTAAAAGAAAAATCAGTATTTAAAAACCAGATACCGTTGGAATAACTTACTGGTGAAATAGGATCTGCACTGTTCAAGCTGAAAGAAATACAAGGAATAAGCAACATAAAGAGAAAACATGAACTTAGTAAGAAAGAAACTTTCCTAAAAGAGAAAATGTTCCTGTTTATTGTCAGTACTATCTTCTAACATTGGTGTGGCTGTGTACCAGAGTCAAGATTTTTTATGAAAATTGGAGAAATGAATAAAAAGGGAATGGGGCAGATGTAGTTTATACCCAAAACAGTCTGGAGAAGGTGTTCTGTGTATTAGATTTATTCATGTAGTAGCACTCAATTCAAATAAATAAGGCTTAAAAAGTAAATGATTAAGTCTTCTGGAAAGCTTGTTCTTGTACATGTATGCACTTTTCTTACTACTGAAACTTCATTTTTATGGCCTTTGAAAACATACTCCTCTCTTGAGCTGTGACAAGCCAAGGCTAACTGCTTGGCATCTGAGCAGAAGCAGATGAAACGGCCAAAATAGCATCTAGTCTCTTTCCTTTGAAAAACAGCAACAACAAACCCACTTTTTTTTCCCCCTTCTCTAAATACAGCAGAAGATGAAATATTCTTAGGACACTTAATATACCACATGGCACTGCCAGATTGCACAGATATACATTTAACAACAAAATAGCAATGACATTTTCATTTTTAGCCATCTTTTCCTGTGTTTGAAAAGCTCTTTTCCACAATAGACTGTAGTTTCTATTCTTTTCTATAGCAGACTGTAGCTGTTGTGATTTGTGATTTACAGATGGGTATTTTATTTTTAATGGATTATATTCCCCCCAAATTGACTAGTTTTGTCTTTTTTAATAAAGAAAGGCCAACAGAAGATGCTGTCTCAGCCAGTTGCAGTACAGGCTAAGTCACACGAAGATGACAGACAGAGGTATGTGCTTTACACCTGCTGTGTGTAATTGGTGGGGAGTCCCACACTGATCCTGCACACCCTGACCTGTGCCCTAGTCATGCTGCTTTTGTATCTGTCTTTGCAGCTTGCTGGATTGGGGGAGTCTAAATTTTGTCCTGTTATTTGAAAAAACCCCCTGATACTAAGCAAGTGTTGTTCTTGTTATTGCACAGAAGTCTTAATTCTGCTGGAATGTTCTATCTAGGATACTAAGTAGTGCTGACCCCTGTGGAAAAGCAAGGTAAGGTAACAGGTTTCTTTGCAGTACCAAACAGCAGGCACTCAGCAGTGCATGGCTTTGGACAGTTCAGCTGACAAAGAGAAGAAATAGATACTGGTTCACGTTTAACTTGGCCTAAGTATTCCTGGGCCAGGAAGTGCTTGATGAAAACAGACACAAAACCCTAAGACAGACAAACACTGAGCTGCCACCCTCTGGAACGTGGGTACCATTGCACTGCTGGGGCCCACGAGCCTTTGGCCTGGATGAACATCTGTGGGGTTTAGCCTGTGTGTTCAAACCCCTGAGCTCAGGAGTGGCACATGGCTGTATCCACTGAGTTGTTCAGGAGCACTATTATTTGTTCAAGGGTTTGTATATTGATAGTGTGGGAAGTGGGTGAGTTTAGGATAGACTAATACACACTTTATCAAGGATCTGATCTGTAGGTTCCTAAGTTTATGATACCACTAATGTGAAAAAGAAAGATACAGGGACAGACTACATGGTGCTTCGAATGTTAAGCTGCACTCGGGAAACTTGTGAAATAGTATACATGACAGTCTGAAAGAGATTTTCAAATAGTTACTTTTGTGCAGAACAAAAGCAAAGACATTAAGGAGTTATTATGAAAGTAAAAGGGGTTTTCAGTACACAAAAAGGTGTGAGAGCAAGTCTTCTGTGCTGGAGACCTGACTACCAGCAAAAGTTTGCTACTATAGTTAAAATATTCCTGAGCTATTTTAAAGCCATATCTGACAACTGGAGGCATGGGGGGCAGGAAAGTTAATGTGTTCTCAGTATCATCATGTTTTACAAACAAATTCTGGATCTTGATTAAGTTTTATGTCATGCTAGATGGATTTTGAACATTAGACAGAAGATTTTGAAGAACTTCAAACTCAAAAGAGTTGAATTTTAGGGCTCAAGTAAAGTGATCAGAGGGTTCAGCCCCAGAGAGGAAATTAATAGCTTTGATGGTACACATTTGAAATAAATGGGAGCCTTGGAAGAATGAAAAAAAAAATATTGGCAATTAGCATGTCAGAGTAGCAACTGATCTACCAATTACCTCCATAAATTAAAACACCTCAAAACAACCACAGTCTGTGTTCTGGTAAACATCTGTGTGAGAGAAGATTGGAAATCCCTTGCTGTAGTGAAAAAGAGAAATGTGTGCTAGGAATTAGGCACACTGATTATCCATGAGTGAACATTGAGGCCATTCAATTAGATTAGTTCCAAGTATTTAATATTTAATTAAAAATTCTTTTCTTTCAAAATTGTGCAAGGAGATAGGTCATGGATCCAAAGGAAGCGCTTGAGATGTTTTTGAAATATCTCTTTGAAATGTCTGTTGATTCCTTTAAGGAGAATAAACACTAAAGCGACTGGAAAGAAAGGAGGGAATTGAGGCAAAGAAAGAGCTACTATCAGGGGGAAAAAAAAAGATGACAGGTTAACAGAAATGAGTAAGAAAATTAGAAAAAAAAAAGACAAATATTTAAGTCACTCTCCAAGTCAGTGTATATTTTTTAAAACAAATTGTTGGAGAGTTCTTAGAGCATATCTTTTTGCAGGGAAACTTGAATTACTTAGCAACAAAGCAGCTCGAGTGACAGCGCCTTGCAATCAGCTTTTGTTTACCCTTTGCAGCGCAGACACTGCCAGGCTGGGGCGATGGGCAGGGCCCGCGCATGGCAGCCAGGCTGGGCTGCCGCTGGCATCAGCGGCCACAAAGGGCTTGCTCATGCACAAGCATCGCGTGTTTACACGCAGGGATGCAATTGTTAAACGTTGCCTTCTGTTTTAGTGGTGCCACGATCCTCTAGCTGCTTCTTTGTGTACCTTTTCAGGGTTTACACATGAATTTCCCTTCCCACCCAACCACAGAACTGTATTAGGAGATTTTAAAACTGGACTGGCATGTATGGGAAGAGGAGAGAAACCGTTAGGGTTAGGCAAATGGGAGGAATTGAGAGATACAATAAGGTTGGGGGTTTTGTTTGCTTTGTTCGTTTATGGGGGTTTGGTGGGTTTGTTGGTTTGGTTTTTTTTTTACAGAAGGCTCAAGACAACAGATAGATACAGTAGGAACAAATCAGTCTATTGAGGGAAAGAACATCACTGTTTTCCTGAGTATAGAGCATGTTGTATTTTCATATATTTCAGAATAACATATAACTGCTATTTCCGTGGCAGCAAATCCTCACCTTCTGCATGCTCCCAGAGCTAGCCAATAGCAGGGAAGCATGAGGAAAATAGGGTAAATAGACAAAAACTAATCATCCTATTCTTGAAGTCTGTTGCCATCCACACACAGATGATTTCTCCAGGTTTTTTTTTGGGGGGGGAGTGGGTGTTGGGTTGGTTTTTTTTTTTGGATTAATAAAATACAGAGCTTTGTGCAGATAATTCTTGTTGATGAGTGTCTGTGAAATTTTAAAAGGCAAGATCTAAACATTTGCTCAAATCAGCCTGGCAAAAAAATTAGGTGACTTAATGAGCCAGAAATTTAAATTTTATTCCAAATCTTTTATAAGCCAGCATTTTAATTGAAGTAAAAAATTATAAAGGATAGTAAAAAAGTAGCCTTGTAGTGCAACAGCACACATTCACCTAACTCATCTCAAAAGTAAAGGCGTTAGATACATGACAAGAAACTTGACCTGAAAGATACACAACATGCTTAAACTTTCTGCTTGTTTTCAGCAGACTTGAAAAATAATTGTTTAACCTGAAATTCAATTACTGAGCAGCACAGTTTTCAGCCAGATAAGCAGATAAGAAAGCTGCCTTTTTTTATTCCTGTTTTTCCCCCCATCTGTAAAACAGATACAATATTTATAATACTTATTTCAGAGAAAATTCAATGAGGCTAAATTTATAAATTGTTCCACCTCATGTTCAATTGATAGTCCCTGTCAATTGGCTTGACAGCAGCCAGTCTGAGCCTACAACTGTGTTCCCTCTTAGGATGTAGAGGAGACTGGTTTATATCCTCATTGTCTTTGTATGAATTCAGGGATTTGTGTGTCAGGTAAGTGTATTAACTAGTGAGCTGTGGGTGATCTCTGGTATTGGATTGTCAGTCTCTCCTGTTGAAGCTGATTGCACTCTGCATGCTGGCAGAGTACTGCCTGGTACAGGGAATCATCCATCTAGTGAGCCAGGAGCCTAAATTCCAAGGGACAAGATACACTGTTGTATTAGGTGCTGGAGACTGATCAGGTGATTTAGGTAGCAAATGAGGTAGAATTGGAAAGGCAGAGAATGAGACTGAATTTATGATTGTACTTAGTATATGTTCCCACCTTAGTTTATTCTAGGCATGAAGTGTTATTTTCCTGATTCTGACAGAGGAGTTGAATTTTTATTGTAAAATGTTTATTGTATTACAGATATTTGGTGAATTTTTATTTTTTCATTTTTTTTTTTTCCCTGCAGAGATCCACTCTGTCCCGAATTTTCATCTCTTACACTCTCACATGGCAAGGTATCAAAGTCAAAACTATCCTGGTTAATTTCCCTTCTGGTATAATTTCCATCTATTAATTTTGGATTTGAGTTTGTGCTACACTGAGGACTTACATGGGTGAGAAACCCAAAGAAAGTGATGCTCAAAGCCTCTCAGTGCCACTGATGGTCAAGTGGACTTAAATCATGTTTAATTTTTGTATTCTAGGTTTCCTGTGCTATAAAGCACTGATGGAAGTGTTCAGTGTTCTGAACATCACATCAAAAATTCCAAGTACAAAACATTAGAACATAATTAATTCCTTGTACTAGTATCTTCTAGATGTAATAATAAACTAGTCAAAGGAAGGACAGGAAATATATTGGAAAAATGAGATGGAATTTAGGAACAAACTCAACAGTCTCTAATAACAACTGTATTGAATCTTTTAGGAGGTGAGCTGAAGCTTCCAAAATACTGGCTGCAGTTACTTACCAGAATACAGTGGAAAACCTTCTAATTTTTGAAGAATATTTATTTGGGTGAAAGTAGCAGAAATACTGTTATACCTTCCTTCTATAGGGAATGTATAAGATGAAAATAACACATAAAATAGCAGATTTTTGAAGGTATGATAAGCATTTCTCAAAGAAATGCACTCTGATGACAGTTCAAAAATTAGTATCTTGATGATTGATTATGTGTACAACAGCTCCCATAAGCCAGTGACTATTAGATGCATTACAATTTGGGCATATGGACATAAAAGTTGGAAGATAAAGATGAGTACAAAGAAAAAAGAAAACTGTGGTTTTGAAAGCCTGAAAAGCATACTTGGAAAAGTATCCCTGAGTCTAGATATATGGAAAAGAAATTAAAAAAAAGCCACACACAAAGAAAACACTGGAAAAAAAAGTCTTTCCTAACTAATAAAATACTACTAATAATAAAAAAATCACTGCCTTCTGAAAATATTTGTAGGTAGCAAACAAGAAATGTGCTTCCACATCCACAGCTCCAACCAGACCACACTCTGGAAGCAAGGCACAGAGAACAACTTCAAGGTATAGCAGACCTTTCTTTTGGTTTGTCATTAAATATTTCAGTTGCTATTTTTGTCTCTCAGGTTATTTTTATTCATGCTTGCTCCTGTATTTATATATATTTCTATCAATGGATGTATCAAACTGTTGTTCCTCCTCAGTCAGCTCCACCATGTGGCTGTCTCTGTTTACTTGCACCAAAAATTGTCAGTGAGTGTGATTAATATTACAACAAGGAAACTGTTGCTTTGTGCTTCAGCACTTCTCAAGACTGACAGCTAGACTCTGTAAACTCCTTCAGTGAGTTTCTCTGCCTTCTACGTTATAGTATGTAAAATCCTCTTAACTGTTTATGCAGAATATGGTAAAGGTATCTTAGGTAAAGAAAATGAGAAATTGCCATCAATGCATCTTCCATATGAATGCAAGTGATGAAATTGCATTAGGTAAATAACTGTATACTCATATAAAAATATGCTGTATTTTTGTAATTTTTTTGTATTACAAATTTAAAATCTAGGGTTTCTGTTTGGGTTTTTTTTAGTTCAAAAATAAGAAACTTGGAAGTACAAAGTGCTGATAGTATTGCAATACTGGAAGATCACATAGGTTTTTCTCTAACAAAAACAATTAGCAGAATTGAAGAAAAACTAAAGAAAGGAACCTTACCAGATTGTCCAGATGATGATATTATTCCAAGTGTTGGAAATGAAATGGGAGCAGGTAAGTTTCCTCCTGTGGTTAGTTCTTTTATTCTTCATTACTTGGTGACTGTTAGAAATGGTTTTTCCTGGGGAAAAAAAAAAGGAAGGAGTTTCTGTAAAAACTACAGGGAAAATTCTAAAGGCCTTCAGTTAAAGGAAAAGAGAAAGAGGTTTCTCTTTACATAGTCCTAGAGGAAGATCAGGTTACATAGGAATGAATAACTATGTGGAAATTGAATTTTTATCTTGATTTCCACCTTCGTAGGAAGATATTTGGATGGTTACATGTGTTGAGTATGTGCATAACATTTGATTAATTTTGTAGGTTATATCTCAACTCTGCAGTAACAAGCAATGATACAAATACACAGACATAGAGAAGGCTGAAGATCACATTCTGGTTTTATATAGTATACTCATACACACATGAACAAAATACCTGAATGTATTGTTGCACTTCATGCTAATTTTCAGATTATCTCAGGAACTCAAGACTTCTGTTCTTTCCTCTAAGGTACCAGAGTCTCTCAGACATCTCTTTCTTTGCCATTCCTTAAACCATTGGTTACTTTATAACCTAAGACCATCCTATAAAGTGATGTTCCTCCCCCTTATTAGCCTAATCGGGTGATCAGGATTGACCAGTTAGGAAGCTCATTGTTTAATTAGCTTTACCTCTTGTGAGAATTCAAACAGGCACCTCCCAAAACTGGTGGGGTTCTAGCTGCACTTGTATTTTCACCAGGTTTACTACTAGGTGCTCTTAATGACACAGAGCTGTCTAAGACAGAAGTTGTCTATGGACTAGTAGCTGAGTAAAAAAGGAAATGGTAAAAAGAACTAGTTTTTACAGGTAATGGTTTAGCCCTAGAGTGACCTGTCATGGAGCTTACATTGTTCATGATAGCTGGTAAAGAAATTTGTATATGAAACAATGATTTGAGGATAGTTAAAACTGATGTGTTGGAGAAGAATCTCATAGCTCTGAGTGAGGTGATAGAGTGCAAGTTTATACTCTGTATCACAAAGAATGCAAAGTAATGCTGATACCAAACACAACTATCCAATTACACCTACTTGACAACAATTACACCTACTACACAACTCCAATTACACCTACTACTGAGCTGGACTTCCTTTAGCTATCACTAAATAAAACACCTCCAAAAGCATAAACAGCCTGTCTGCAGTGGAAGAGGCAAATTGATTGTTAGAAATCCTTCAGAAGATAACAGAAACCAAACTATTGCACTGTTATTATTATGCTGTTACATAGCTGATGTTGCCCCAGTGTGAGTGTGGCACACCCCACTCAAAACCAGCACACAGAACTAGCAGAGAGACAGTTAAGAGTGTACAGTAGCAATTAGAAGCACGGAACAGCTTGAATTTGAATCTTCAGTTTGAAAACAAAACAATTAAAGGCAATATGAGAGATCTGTAATGCAAACAGTAGTGGTAAAGGAAAAGCTGTCTATAATGCAAACACTAGTAAATGCCACATTAAATGGGGCTTAAAGCAAATTAAATTAGCCAACTCACTGCCACAGGATACTGTGAACGCCAAACTACAATATGTTTTATGAAGAAAATCAAACAACTTAATCCCCTTTCAGGTAGTTCTGTACTGTTGAATATGAAGGCTTCAATATGGTCTTCATCTCAATAGCCACTAGTTACCAGAAGCTAGCAAGGATATAATAGGAGGAATAAAAGTCAGTCTGTGTCTTATTTTTTCATGGTGTTTCTGTAAATCCTAGTTATTATTGGCCTCTGCAGAGTTACAGCTTAAGCAGCAATTGACAATTGATAAGGGAAGGTGAGTGAAATGAAAAGAATTCCTGTTACAGCAGATGAACACATGTACCCATCCATTCCTTCACACTCAGCTCCAGATACTCCTCTTTCACTTTATTCTTTTCTCCTTGTACCTACTGTGAATAATGGTTATTCCTATGTTGCTCAACTTGATCCTCAAACTATCCATGCTTCCTGCCTGTGGAAGCTCAGTGGGAGTTCCTGGGGAGGGAAAAGAACAGACTGTTCACAGCTTGTTTTGTCATGACAGTCCATTTCTTAGCTGTCCAAAAGCAAGAAAGTACCTAATTTGGAAAAATCACCTGATTAAATGGATTTAACTTTAAACTATTAGTTGAAGAATGTTACTTTAAAAAAGCACAGACTACTGTGTGGGAGGGATACTTACCTGCTGGGAGGGGTTTGCAGTCTGCATTGAATTCCTTGTTGTGAGCATTGCTTGGGCTGTAACTGCACAAAGTGCAGCTACAGAGGGATTGCAATGCAGACATGCCCTGCAGTAGAGTTTTCAGGACTTCAGGCTCAAGAAATGCTGTAACTTAAGTCATGGTATGATGTGAGTTTTCACTAAGTTTCAATTTTGAGAATTGAGTCTCTTACATTTTAAAGAGGTCAAGTTCAGTCATTAAAAGAAAAAAATCTATACAAAGGTTTGCCTAAGAATGAGAAACTTGCATCATTTTTTTAGAAATCTGAGTTTTTATTTGCCTATTTCTCTTTCATAATGTTAAACAATATAGTGTGTTTTTATAAACAGAAAATGAAAGTGAGGTCTTACTTCAGTCCTGCTTTTCTGCATTGAACAAGGAGTACTTGTGGATATTAAATGTAACTTTTTATGTTCACAGAAGCTCAAATCAGATTTCTTAAGGCTAAGTTACGTGTTACACAGGAGGACTTGGCTAATGTAGTGTTTGAATGCAGAAAAAAGGTAAGAGCTGAATTTTCTTATCCATAGAAATGGAGTATGTTCCCCTTGAACAAATAATCACAACAGAATTCTATCAACCTTTCCTTTTCAAATATGAAGAGCTAAGGTTCTGTCTTTTTGAAATAGCCTGAGAATTTAGAGTTAATGTTAATTTCTGCATAAATGTGATCTTGGGCTAAAAGCTTGTGAAATACTCTTAATGCAAAAGAATTTGAAGCAGGAAAGAACCACTGGGAATGAAAATGTTCCCCAGCTGTAGGAACACTGTGATGCTGCAGAGTGCCCAAACCATCCGTGCTGGGCAGGAGAATGTTACCAGAGCCTGAGAAAAAGGAGGAGGAAACAGCAGCAGTGAAATACAGAGTTTGGTGTACAGAGAGAAAACGAGTGGTGCCTGGGTGATGGGAAGAGAGGGGTGTTTAGGGCACAATAAGAAATGGAAAAGCTTGAGAAATGCAGTCAGGTGCTTTAGTGTCCTTGGTGGAACAAAGTGTGGAAACAGCTAATCTGTATTGTAATCAAAACAGAAATTAGGCTTTCTCCATTGAAAGAGTACAATTGAAGCAGAGAACTGTATTTGGAGTTACATATTTGGGCAGATCAGACTGAACTTAAAGCATTGTGAAGCTGCACTGGTACTTCACTGTTAGTGTATTACAAGTGAGTTTTAGGATCTGCACTGTCTGGCAATATATTTTCAGGTGATGCTCAAAGATCTCTTGAACTGTAAAACTTAACTAGCTTGTATCTGCCTGCCAGAGGGATCGACTCAGATATTTGTAATCAGGCAAGGTTTTGGAACTAACTTCCCATTTTACATTATTGGGTTCTTCTTAGTCGTGGTCTCTTGCCTTCAGAATGATTTTTCCACCTCTTCCCCAGGCCCCAATGTGATGATGACATTGAGAACATGGCAAAACACCTATATGTTTTCTCTCAAGCTTTTAATTTGGAGTTAAGGAGCAGGATGATACTAAATTAGTACATGGAGAAAATCTTTAGAAGTAATTAGATTTTGATATTTTATATTCTGTACTTTATTTCGTCAATACAGCTGCTTCTGCATTTCAATACTTCAGTGCTGTGATCAGAAGGAAGTTGTTACATTAAAGACATTTTCATTTTCAAATCAAATATACTTTTGTCAGTAGCTATTGAACTAAATCATTCCATGCCAAAACCCCTACAGAATTCAGTTAGTGTAGCAGATGACACAAGACAATCTTGTACCTATTCTTGTCCTGCTCCCACAGTGCTCTGTATGTAAATGTATCATTTTGGATATCAGTTTGTCTAGTGTGAAAACAACTTTATTAGATTCAGAAGGTCACAAAAATCTCATTTTGGCAAAGGTTTGAGGTAGATTCTGGGTTTTGTTCCAATTCACAGTCCAGTTGATACAAGGAAGCAGTAGATCTGTTTTAAATAGAAAGAAGTGGGAGTTCCTGAGGTGCATGTGGTCCATGAAGCTTAGGGTAAAGCACATCTATTCCCCAGGTGAGAAGCTTCTATTCCAAGGGGCTGAGAGGACAGCAGAGAGACTTGTTTTCATAGAAAATCTGCTGCTGTGTGAGCCTTGGTTTCTTTTTTTTTAAAGATATGAAGGGCATAATGTGTCTGAAATAACCCACATTAGTATTCACTTACAAAGTTTGAAAGGTTATAAAAGAAAATGCCTTGAATTATAATGCTTAATGTGGGATGTAATTGCTAGTAGGTCATGAATCTAATACAGGATTCACTTGGTGTTAAGAGAATCTTGAATTTGAATACTTGATGTATCCTGGATCATTAGCTTGCTTTTAAGTAAAAACCAGATAATCTCCTAAAACGTAATGGATTGATTTATCAGTAATTATATTCTCTTCTTTTCCCCATAATTTTTCCTAATGTGTGCAGTTAGCTATTCTCACCAAAATGTCACAAAATAGCTATGTGCCACTGTTACTCATGTTCCTCTATAACATTTTGATAGTTCTCAAAACCTTTGAGCTATCAGAAATTAAATGTTTTACATACTGCTACAAGACAGTTCCAAGTAAAAGAGTATAGAAAATGAAAGGAGTGTTACTGGGTTTTGAGGTATTATCCTGGTAAAATGCTGTTTTGTTTTCCTTGTTTGTATTAGTTGTTGCCTCATTCATTTAAAAACACTAACCTATCTACAGTATGTATATTTTTACTGCCTTTTATTTACAAGACATGATTGTTGCATAATCCTCCTGCTTCCTTGCAATAATTTAGTTGGATTTTTGCTAATTACTGCCAAACAGGATGATGAAAATGAAGATTTGGAAACTCAGCTTAAAGATACTGAGGAAGAAAACAGCAGACTGCAACGAGCTATCAGTGTGCAGCTCTCCCAGACTGAGAAGTACAAGATGCTGTCACAAGAAGCAAACAGAAAAAGTGAAGGGTTACAGCAAGAGGTCACTGCACTAGAAAAGGTACTGCAGATATTAGTCTAATTTTTCTCACAAAAAGGAAAAAACCCAATCAAATCACCTTCTGTGCCCTAGTTTGATGTTCGTGTCCATTAGCTTTTCAATCTCTGTTAATTGTTTTACAAATTGTATGTTTAACTGGTCTAATCCATTTTTAAAGGAAGAAGTAATATATTTTACTGCGTTTCTTCTGCTTCTACAGTCCTATGTTTCTGTATTTTAAAATGAAATTCCTGCATAAAAAACCCACAAGAGACAACACAACCTTTTCAGAAACTGCTGTCAAATTCACAAAGGAATCCTGAAAAATACAGGGAAATTTTATTTTTTCTGGTTTTAATTATAATTGTTAAAAATGACTTCTGTACTAAGAGTTTTATTGGAAACTCTAGAACTTAGTGAACATTTTTTTTTTAGAAGCACCTGCAGCTCCTATTAGTACATTCTGCAGAGGGAGGAAGGAATATCTCTTTGTTGTTGAAAATGGTCTGTTTGGAGGCCAATGGGGGTGAGTCCAAGCTCCTGTGGCTCATGCTGTACCTCACAGGACAGTGGTCTGTTTTAAATTTCCTTAAATAAGTACCTGATGTTGATTCTGTCAGGAAAAATATTCAATAGTTGTACTGATGCTACTCATCAGCCCACAATAAATAGGGCTGAGAGATTTACAGAGTCATTTACTCCTTTCTCTTAAAGCAAGACAGGACAGATTATATCCAAGCCATCCTGGACATAAAGTTGTTTAACTTGTACTTAAAGCCTGCTGTGATGGCAGTTTCCATCATTGCCTTAGGCAGTCTGTGCTGGTTCTTGCACTCAGTCACAGATAAAAAGTATTTAGGACATGTCTGTTGGGACAAACAGTTTATTCACTTTGGCTGTACAGGTACCACATCCAGAGTGTGGTCACTTCCCTCACTTCCCTTTGCTCTGGATTTACCATCCTCAGTTCCTTCAATTATTCCTCATAGGTTGTGTTTTCTAGAATTCCTCAAGGTTACCAATCAGAAATGATAATGAAAACAGTGGTAGTTCTTTAAAACACTAAGACAGCAAAAAGGACAAGTGTATGTAATGAATGGTTCTCTGCTGATTCACAAGTGACTTTACATCTATTTTCTGATATAAGAAATTATCCAACTCCAAAAACCATGCATTTAAAAATAATTTTGCAGTAACTGCTTAAATCTCCTGTGGATTTAGCAGCCTGAAAACTGCTCTATTCTTTAGCTATGAAGTATTATTCGACACTGTGTAATTAATGTAGTGCAGATTAATTCTAGACACATGTTTAAAAGCAATTTCCTGTGAACACAGGTACTTCTGTGTCAGTGAACTCTCAAGACTCATACCTTCAGTCTAGAGAAAGTGTTCTGTATGGTTGAGACAGCACAAATGCAATCTCTGATTTTGGGGCTTTTGTTACTATTTCTGTTGCAATGTGGGTTATAGGAGACACAAGCTCTGACATTTGCTTTCCCAAGCTGCCTTGGATTATCAGCAGTTTGTGCCATTCCATTAATACCCCAGGTACTGTCTTTGTATGTGCCCAGGCAAAGATCCTCACCTGCTTTTCACAATTTACCTGAAACATGGGAACTCCTTGGTTATTTTTACATTCCATTCTTTTGGTGTTTGGTCTCATTTCTGCTGTAACACTCACCTCAGGCAGCAGCTGAATGCTGAAGCTCCCAGAAACTTCCAGCCTCTTCTTTCTAGCATTCCTCTTTTTTTTTTTATCTAGTTGATCTAATAAATGGTATCACCTTTCCCATCTCTTTTTCAACACCTGTCTACAAGAACATTCCTTCCTCTGTGTTCTCTCTCCCTTGTTAATTCAGTGTGGCTGTAATGTTAGATAATGGTCAGGGAACACCAAAGTTGTGCTCTTATTCTTTCCAAGGCTTTGTGCAGGGGGTTTATAATTTGCCTTGAGAAGGGCTTGATGATAAGCAAACATTATCTCTGAAATGTTTTTGGGGGAGAACAGTTGTTGCTAAGCTTCCTAAGGATAGGAGTGCTGTGTATACTTGGTACTGGGAGGAGAGAAAAGCTGCTGGGAGAGTTATTCACAGGTGAGCTCTGTGCTATCACAGCCCTCACTGATACTCATGAGCCTCAGCCATGCCAGAACAGTGGAGAAAATCCAGAAGTTGAAATGGGCTCCAGTCTTATCCCCTCCTCTTAGAGAAACCTTAGATGAGAAAATTAACCCAGCTTTAACTTAAAGTATGGAAGAATTGGCAGAAGTCTTGCCTAGCTACAAAATAAAACACTTATTTCAAGCATTTTTAAGATTGAAAACTTGGGAGTCAAATTCATTTAACAATATACCCTCCCTGGATGACTTGCAGAAAAAAATCCTTGATAAGGATATAATGTATTACAGTAAATGTCAAAAAGCCCTAGAAGAATTCTTAGAATTCTTTCATTAAGTGATATGATTAGCTGATAAGTAATTTGCATTGCATGCAGACTGTTTTTTGGGCATTAAATGCCTGAAAGACTATGCCAAAGCTTTTCATATTAATGCAGAATAAAATGGCACAAAAGATTTAGTTGACTTTATCCACTGCTCCATCATCTTGACACAAGGCAAAGAGGTCAATTTATATGTATTTCTTGGATAAATTATGTGGAAATGCTAAGTAACCACCACAGAGCAGGTGTGGAATTGAGAAAATAGGGCAGTTACTCAGAGCAATGAGGCCATCTGACGGTCAAAAGGCTAACAACAAGCCTCTTCTCTGCCTTGGTTTGGTTAAAAGAATCTTTTTGTGCCCATTACTAATAATTTGATACTTTAAAAATAAGTCTATTTCTTTTCTATAGAACACAAGATGTGCTCTTTCTGCCAGAACTATTTATTTCCTTTACTTTGTCTGTTATCTATATGCCCTGATCTTTAGTCTTATTGTTCTGTTCCTCAACTTGGTCTCTTTTTCTCATTTCCCCACTTACAGCACTGTGAACACTGTCAGCAGAGTCAAGAGGGAACTGGTTTGATTGGTGCCATAAACACTCGATGAACTATTTCTGCCAGACGAAATAGTTACTCCCCTCAGCCATCTTCAGGAGGCTGCTTTAACTTCTTGGTGGTAATTGCATGTAGGAATATTTGGGGAAAAGAGGCAAAAGGAACAGGGGGGAAGAAGCAGCTGGGAACAGGAGCCACTGTTCCAAAACCTGCCTCACAGTGGACATAGTGATATTTTTTCTCATCTTCTGACAAGACTTTTCAGTCAATCATGTGGCCTCACATGATCAGTTCCACAGTTTTTCCAAGAGAAATTTAAAGATCCCTTTTCAAGATTTCAGAGGAGAAAGGGATGATTTAATGGTAGAATTGTCTTTGAGACAGATTCTGTCTGCAGGCCACAGATGTCTACAGACTCTTCAGCTTTCAAGGGTGAGCCTTGCTGTAAATGTGTCAGTATGGGATTCATAAAAACACCAGTATTCATGAGGTTTGTTTTTATCTGTTGCTTCTTAACCAGGAATTGGAGAACCTGAAACGTGCACAAAAACAGGCTGCAGCCACTCAGAGTGCAACTGAGGCTCGCTTGAACAGGGCCCTGGAAGAAGTGGAAAGGTATAAAGTGGAGCTGAATAAACTGAAGCAAAGCAACAAGGTACAGTGGCTCAGGAGAACAAGTTTCAATCTGTAATCACTCAGTAATGTTAGAATGACACAAAAGGCTTGATCACAGCTTTGGCAGCATTGTCTCTCTGACAGGCAGTCCCAAAATTAACAGAGCAAGTCACCAAAGGCCTTGATAAGTTACATTGGGTGACACTACTGCAACCTGTGCAGAAGGGAGAAATGTACAGAATCAAGTCAAAGCCTTTCTGATTTTCCTCATTTCTTTGTAAATGAGACATGTTTAGACAGAGGGAGAAGTACACACCCCCCCCAACATACACCGGCAAACCAGGGCTGTTCCCTTTGAGATTTTTCTCTTTTGTTTTTAAGCTTCAATGTGCAAATATTTTGATTAATCCCAATTCTTGTCAGAAATGTATAGCTAGTTTGTAATTTTTGCTATGTATATCCAGGTTTCATTGGTTAAAGCACCACTGTCATAAATAGCACATCTCTGCTTTTCTTCCCTTGGTAGGATATAGCTAACCAAGAGCTCAAAACTATTGAAGAACTAAAAACAGAAAACAAGAAACTACAGAAACAAAAAGGAGAGCTAATGACTGGTTTCAAAAAGCAGTTAAAGTTAATTGACATTTTGAAGAGACAAAAGGTAAGTACCAGAGTACAGGTGTATTTCAGTTAACCTCTAGCTACATTTGGCTGTTGTCACACAAGGCAATTCTGGAAACTGGAGCCCCAGGACTGGGAAATTTCAGTGCAAGGAAGAGCATTATTAGTGCCCTTTGCTAACGTTTTGCTTTATAGCAAAGGCTGGTCTTCTTCTGGATGGCCCCCATTGCTAGGTCATGGTGAGAGATTACTGCTGACCCAGAGTATCTGTTTGTTCAAGAGCAAACACTGCTCAGGTAACAACAGCAACTCCCTCGGGTGCTGTGTCAGTAGGACCCATTTTAGCATGTGAGAATTTTTAGTTTTTCCCTCCCACACATCATGTGTCAGATCAGCAGCTGTAAGAGTGAAGCACTCATTTCAGACCTGCCTTCTTGCTGGGTTCTCAAAGCATGTCCCTCCCTATCACCGTTATTTCATGTCATTTATGTTCTGAGGTGCTCTGTACATGTTCACTCATGCCCAAGTGCAGATGTCCTTGTGTGTCAGACAAAAAAAACAAAACAAAACAAAACCAAGAGTACTCACCCTAGGTGTGAATTTACTCGACTGAAAGAGGGGAGTTGGTCTCCATCCTTTGGTAATTGCTGGAATATCCTGCATACTTTGAATCACACACAGTGCAGTAACATCACCATGGGTGTTCCCATCCACTCTGCACTTGCAGCTTACTCTGAAAGTCACTTGGTTCTACATTCATTTCATATCTCACCCCATTCCTCTCCCTCGGGGCATGAAGGGGCAGGTAAGGGCTGCTGCCTTGCACTTTCTTTAGCAGCTGAAGCTGAGATTGAAGGGAGGAGAAGTGGTAGAGTAAGTGCTGCCAATTCATGCTCAGTGATTAGCAATACAGCTTCCAGAGAAAGCTGTTGTAGTGAGAAGTAGATTAACACTTCAGATAGAATACAGCTAAAAATGTCTTTAACTATGATATTTGATAAAGCTATATTTGATGTCCCCAAAAGAAGTGGTGTTTTACTGGAAAAGAGAAACCTCTGACATTGGAGGGTGGGTAAATATATTAGTCAAAATATAATTTCAGCATAGACCTGTCAAAAGAGGTTTGATGGTGCAAACTGAAAGAACCTGTGAGTTTGCACAGAAGGAAATTAAAGTGAGAGAACTGTATGCTAGGAAATGCTGCCCAAATCAAACAATTTTCCACTTATTAGTTCCATCACACCTTTCACTTATAAATCCTTGAGGTGTGTGTAGTCATTTCCATCAATTTTCCTTCTGAGGCTGCATGAGACAGGTAGAGCTACAGGCTCACAGCTGTCTGGACAGGATCTTAGCACCACAGAGTTGGTCACCTCCAATTGCTCACTCTGCTAATCCCATGTGGCTCATTTTGGGATGGAGTTAACACCCTTGTTGCACTCTCAAACCGAAGCTGTAGGAGAGCTAAAGCAAGCAATGTGTGGTGGTTGCTGAGCAGAACCCCTTAAACAAGGCTTAGCCTTAAAGATAAGAAAATAGAACATTTTATTTACCCTTTGAGCACTTCAGTGATCACCAGACAGTTTGTAAACACTTTTGAAGCTGTTGAGATCCTAGAGGAAGAATAGTTCTGTATGAAGTGGCAGCTTCATGGAACAAAATACACACACATCCTAAGAACTGGGAATTGCAATATGGAGGTACACCCTTGAATTGGATGAACCTCCCCAACACAGGGCAAAGGAGGACAGGTAACTAGAATCAGAGGCAGTGGGGCTGCTCATGCTTTTCCAGTGCAACAGAACTTTTCTGGCAGTAACAGGGTGCAGAGGAGATCCCAGGGATTCATCTAACAGGAGCAGTGCTTTCTTAATCTTTGGCTGGACCTCCTAGCTCTGCAGGTTTGTTTTGAGAATGAAAACTATATAGTGTTCACTCAAAATGTGCTCTTGACATGAGGTACCTTGTCCTCTGGAAGGTGAATTCACTGGAATGGCTGTCCCAGAGCAGAGTTTCTGTTTGGGAACCAAACCCACAGTCTCAGCCAAATGTCACAGAACTGCATTAAACATATTTTTTAAAAATGACAAATACTGTATCAGAACTGGAGACAGAGCCAGCTGCTTGCCTTTTCCTACAGAAAGTGTTATTTACTCAGAAGAAGGTGCTGTTAGTTGTCCTTTCTAAACAGAGTGACTGGAAGAACCTGAAATAGACTGGGCCTAACCCTGCCCCTTGCAGCTTCTGGCAGAAAGCACTGGGCAAGGGCAGCTGAGGCTCACAGGTGCTTACTATTCACAGTCAGTGGAAAATTGCAGGTCTGCTTCTCACAGGCCTTTTGGTGAATGAATGAGGAAAATCTCATTTGGGCTATTTGTGGAGTGTTTGTGTGACAGGTTCAGGTGCATAGAGCAGGCAGAGCTAACCTGAAGAATGACAGAGGAGAAAAATCCCCCAAAGGTATTAAATATCAGGAGTTTGGTTTGCAATAGCTTTAATGATAAGCTGTATATTGATCAGCCTGAAAGAACATGACCAATTTTCTTATATGTGTTCTTCACAGGTGATAAGGGTTGTCAGATTGTCAGGAGTTTCCATGCACCATTAAAACAGATATTGTTAAAGCAATGTAAGGAAGTAAGAAAAGCTGTCAGCCTCATTTTACTAGAGCTGAACTTGCAATGTTTAGCATAAAATTTACCCTATTATCCCTACACTGTAAATTTTTGCAGAAAAATGGGAATAGCAGCTTCAGCTGGAACAGGTGAACATCCTTCAAAACCATAGTACCAGAAGATGGAATGACAGATTTGAAGCCCCTTTCAGCTATCCCAGTTACCCAGGATTTTGTATTGGCCATCCACACTATTTTACCTTCTGCTCCTAATTAGTTTTGTTATGTTTTCAGATGCACATTGAAGCTGCTAAGATGCTTTCTTTTACTGAAGAGGAATTCATGAAAGCTCTTGAGTGGGGAAATTACTGATCCCATTACAAAACAACTTCTGTTGGAAAGACAAGTCAGATGGTACATTATTTTGTGACTGTATATGAATCCTTGTTAATAGTTAATAATTGTATTTCCCAGTGAATTGATTTTGTTGATTTTGCTAATGTTTAAGTTGTTTAACTTTTGTAAGCCTGAGAGCTTGTGTTGTGATGTCATATGAAATACAAATTTCTACTGCAGTGTCAGGTCAAACTGCCCATTCTGTAGTGAGCAGAGGTACAGACTGTGCAAGGAATATTCCAACAAGTGGACTTTGTTATCAGTTTGCTCTGGTTTAGCATTTAAAATTCTTAACTTCCCTATTGTAATATTCAGTCCAAAGATGTCAGGATTTAGCCTCAGAAAATTCCTTGTTGCAACATAAATAAATTAACCAGTGGTCCAGTTGAGAAGAAAATGTCATGTCCTTTTTAAACACGTGGTTGGAAAATTGGCCTTGTCTGTTCTCTGTAACAGATCTCCCCTCAAAGCTAGTTGGTCTGGCATCTAATTTAAGCACCAACAGCTCTTTTATAGAAATGATCACAACTTGTTTTACCCATTACATCTCACCCCCTGGCTGGTGTAACCATACATGAGACCTGCCCCTCACTGCCCAGGCTGACTCCATAGTCCCACACAGCTGTATTGGTAAAACTGCTCCTTTAGTCAAGGTGAAACTATGAAATCTTTCCCTGGCCATCAGCAGCTGCTTCGGGATCTAGTCAGGAGTTCTGACTCCACATTCACAGGGGCTTTACAAGCATTACATCCTTGACAGTTTCAGTAGTCATCAGTATAACTAAGAACTAGATAAAAGCTAAAGTTAGATGAGCTGAGCATGTCATGTGTACACTAATGAAGAGGAGCAGTACAAGCCTGTACTGCTTGCACAAACCTTCGTCAGAGGTTTCCTCAACTGTTTCAATGGATTCCTCCCTCAGAGTGAGTGAATAGGAACATAGCACAAAAATAGTAAATTTATGTACTGTAAGAAAGGTATAAACAGTGGTTCTGACCTCAGAATGGAATGATGTCTCTGCTTAGATCCTACCAGCAAAGGACCTCAGACCTTCCCCTTCGAGATGAGACAAACTACATGTGGATTAGGATCACAGTTGTGTAATGCACAGCTCAGTCCTCACATCACCCCCAGAACCAGGGCACCAAGAGAATCCTCCAGTCCATACTGGAACACACATGTGAATTTACACTGGGCTTAAGTTTCTGCTGTGTTGCTGGAGAAAACATTTCAACTGAGAATAACTCCACAACAGTTTATTGATGAAAAATGCAAGTGCAGCACACACTCAAATAAAACTAACTGCTCACCAGTTTAGAACTTTGGTCTTAAAATGGAGACTTTAATCTGTTAAAAAGGAGCTCCTCATTGTTAACAGCAAGTGGAAGTTTTCATTGGGAATCACCTGACACCTAGTGGCAAAGCAGGGCCCGAGCTGGGGGAAGGTTCAGCTCTCCTCGAATGCGTTACCTCTTGTCTGCTGGTAAGCCAACCTAAACTCTTCTCCAAGCATCTTCATATCAGATTCTTCGAGTATTCCCTGCAGTAATGGGGAAGAAACACACATCAGAAGGTAAAACAAAGTAGAGAGATATTATGGTTCTCTGAAATTTTCCATGGAAGTGAATGGGTTGTATCCATAATACCAGTGTAACCCTTAAAACACACAGGCCTGAACACCATCACAAAACCTGAATGGAGGAGTTACACACTGGTGTAGCTGGTGCTAACCTCGAGCCTCCCCTTTTGTCCTGCATGCACAAGCACTACCAAAAGACAACATCTAGCTGTGTTCTCTTTCTCACAGAAGTGATTACAGTCAGCACAGCAGAGGTGCAGGTTTAGTCAAATCAAACTGCAGTGAAAAGAGTCCCTGGCTGGGCTGGGGCTCTGTTCTCCACCTTAGCTGTGCTGAAATTAGCTCCTACAAAGAAATAACTTGGCAAATCAACTGATCCTGGACAACTTAATCAAAAACTATGTTTTTGGGAAGGGAAGCAGGAGAACCCAGAAATCTAAACTTCTAAATTAATTTTACAGCTAAATTTGTGTGTGACCCACAGAACATACCATTAGTATTTATGAAAAAAAATAAATTACAAACTGCATTTACAATGGAAAGTTTTGAATTTGGTAGCACTTTGCTATTTAACCATTTTGAGTGAAGTAATGTGATGTATGAGCCCCAGATTCAGAAAGAACAGAACAAAGAAGAACATCATATCTGGAACATGTGCGAGCCTTGGACACTGTAATCTCCAAGGCTTCCTACAACAGCAAATTCAAACCAGAAAACTCTATCAAAGTGTTGCCAATTGGAGTTATCCTTTAATTAAATCTGTGTTAGAAAACAACTCACTCAAAATGTTACAAATTCCTACATCAATTATCATACTAATATTTGAATAAAAATTATACTCTGCTCTATTTGTTTTCCAGCATTGCAGAATTTCTTTAACTGGTTGGATAATTCCCTCCCTGCTCTAAATGCATTTTTACATCCCTAAGGCAGGTGTATGTCAGGTTCATTGTGTACCCTCAGATATTTCTGATTATGAAGTCTAATGTGAAATAAATGGTAGTTTATTCCTATTGCAATAACTGCTCTCATCTTTTTAACTTTTAAAAACATGAGGATGAACAGGGTGAGCTCTGAAATACTCCTGTAAGCACTGCAGGTGTTGCACTGCTGCAGAGGAGAGGCCTTGGATCCATGGGAACGGAATACTTAGCAGACAAGCCAATGCTCTAAGAGATTGCTCCCAAAACCCCAAGTGAGAAGTTAGGTGGAAACAAGGTTTAAGATGTGGTGGATCCCTTCCCAGCTAGAACAGCCCTGCTGTAGAACTTAGGTTCCATATCCCAAACACTGGATGTGCAAGGTACTGTGGAAGCTTTCAGCAAGTTCTGCACAAGGCATCAATACTGCAGGAGAGCCCAAAGCCCCTCACACAGAGTGTGTCTGTAATCAGCTTCCCAGCTCAAAAAGGAAAAGGAAAAAGTGCAGGAGAGCTGACACAATAAGGACACCACTGACTCCAGGAATTCACACAGTTCTGCAGCTTCACTTTGAACTATCCAAGAGCGCACAGATTCACAGGTCAGGCATTTAAAGCATTCAGAGCAGAGGTGACTCACTGGAGGCAGGTAGCCCAGCAGTTTCCACGCATGCTCTTTCAAGAGTTTCTGCCTCTCCTCTTCAACGATTGCACGAAAGCTTTCTTGTCTCCTCTTCTCTAACTCTCTTTCTTCAAGTTCACGCTCCTACAATAAAACAGTTTTTCAGTTCTCTGAACATTTGTTTCCACCACTATCCCCCACAGTATAAAAAGATAATTTTTTAATGGAGTAAATTTTGAACTTCCATTTAACAACTCCTGGTCACAGGAAATTCTTTTTGAAAAGGATGGAAAAGTGTATGTAACAACCCCACAAAGCACTGTTTAAACAACACATGTTGAGCAACTGGAAAAAAGTCAGACAAAAGACTGCATGGCAAGACATGGGGTTAGTCTGCTATCCAAGTGCTTGGTCTTGTACTAAACCCTTTAGAAGGCAGGTAAATGTTCAGTTCTATTTCCTTTTTAGCTCTCAGACAGGTGAGTCTGTTCCTGCTCTAATCCAGGAAAAGAAGCAATAGGAATGAATTCTCATGCTGATGACTGGGAAACTGCAATTCACATTACACATGTGATTTATACCCTATAAACAGGTCTTAAAACTACAGTACAGGATTCCATGACTTGCTTTCAGCTTACACCTTTTCCTCCTCAGATCATAGTTCAAGAGACTTAATCTAAAAGCACAGCTGGGACTTCCCCTCCACACACATCACTGTCAGTGCAGCTGACCAGGGCCACAGATGTGGACAGCACTTGTGTTGCTGATCTCATGGCTCTTAAAGAGAAATCTGCAGAGCACATTGAGTACTCAGGGGTCCAGGGATGTCACTTACCCCAACCTCTTGAGCTACAAAAAACCCACTTCTTTCTTGTCAGCAAACCAAAGCTGCTTCCCCCTGCCCGTGTCTCTGCAGTTCCCCCATCACCTTCCCCTAGTGACATTAGCGCTGTCTCTTGGGATGGCAGAAGTATTCCCATACTGGAATGCTGTGGCTCACACCACAGGCACGTGTGAAACTCTTACCTTCTCCTCAATACGCTGCTGGCGACGATATTCAAGGAGTTTCTCCACAGCTCTTCTGTATTCAAGCTGTTTCATTCTCTGTTTCTCATCATTCATCTGCTCGATGCGATCGTCCTCTGCAAACTTGGCCAGCACCTGCTGCTTGAAGGCTTTTTCCTCTTCTCTCATGGCTTGTTGTGCTGCTGCCTTCAGAGCAAATTGCTCTTCAAATGTTTGCCTTAAGTCCAGGCGTTGCCTTATTCTCTTTTCAATCTCTGCCTATAAAGGGAATGCAGCGAAAAACTGAACACGCTTTGAAAAATCCTCAGCAGCAGCAGCAAATCTACTCGATTTATCTTGGAATAAATTTACTGTAGCAGTTAACTTCCAGCAAATCTCTCAAGATTCTCAAAAGTAAGTCCAAAATAAAAGATCTTTTCCCCACTAGGATGAAGTGAATCAACAAGACATTCATCCTGAACAACTCTCAGAAACAGCAGTGTTCAGTATCTCAACCTGTGTTACATTTTGTCTCACACAGAGTGTGGCCAGACCCATGAGAAAAGCAGTTACTTAACCTACTTAGCTTAAATCTGAACTTGGAAGTTTCTGGCATTCTCCTTCACGAGATAAATACATGTATAAGGGAAGCCATAAGGGTATTCAAAACCTTTGCTTGTCTTCCTGCTTGAAATTAAATACGTTAGGAATGGCAAAGGAAACTCAGAGGAGTTTTTCCCTCCAAAACCTAAGCTAATCTACAAACTGCTTGTCTGACTAAGAACGTTTAGGAAATAATATTGGGAATTGACATCTTGTGCTAGAATTGAAGTCTATTCAAATTCATTTAAGACTCTGAAAACTAGAATTAAGGAATCAGAATTCAGCCACTTGCTCTGAGACAGCTCACAATCCAAAATGGGCTCAAGGAGTCCCTCAAAAACATCTCCAAGTCACAAATAACACAAAACCCCCTTCATCTCCCTGCCAGTACTCACCATCTCTTTCTTCCTTTCCAGCTCCTCTTGTTTTTCCAGATACAGCTCTTGGCAGATTTGTTTCAGTTCTTCTCGCTTCCGCTGTTCCCTTTCCAGATTCTGGGCAATCTGTCACAAGAAGGAAAGGTTTCTAAAAGAAACACAAGTAATACAACAATTTTTTCTATAATTTCAAGTTTTCATACCATGTTTTGAAGCCTCTGTTTTTGTTCCTCAGTGTCTCGAACTTTAGCCATCCAATCATTTTCTCTTTGTTGCTTCATGTTGGCAAACTCCATAATTTTCCTGTTCTCTTCTTCCATCTCTTCCTCTTTCATTTTCCTCCAGATAGCTTGTTCTTTTTGAAATTCTTCAATATATGCCTGAATTTCTCTCATTTTATCTAATTTTTGTTGCCTTTCTCTGTAGAAGATGGGAAAAAATGTTTGAGTAGTTATTTAACACTATGCAGAGCAACATGACAGTGAGCAGATGCTCACCATTACCAATACATTCCAGAGACTAAGATTTTAAGGACTCTCCTTAACCATTCAGCTAGAAACCAGATACATAAATTGAAAAAACTGATTAATCAATTGCCCCAAGAAGAGAATCTCATGTCTAACACTTTTCTGGAGGACAGACTGTACACACAGGTACTCACCACTACTACATTTTACACACACTCCGTCAAACTGCAAGAAGAGATGACAGTCCAATAGCAGCACAACTCCTAAACCTTTTACACTAAACTGTCCCTCACACACTACCACCCTGTCCTCAGAAACCTCCTTCCCAATCCATAACAGAGGCAAACAACACATCTTTGGCAAGATAGGGACACATGGTGAGGCAGAAATCTCTGCCAGGCTGTCACATCCAGCATGATGGGCCCAATGGAAGCACTCCTTGAAATAAGCTAGATTTCAGATTTGGGGATCATGGACATGAGATTGACTAGAACATTCTGATGTTTCAACAGGAAAACCCACACAGGTCAGTCTCTTGTTAGTAAAATGTGGCCAAGGAAAACTAAAATGGGCCTTAGTTTGTGGACTAAATGTATACAAATTAGCTTTCTGTACAGAATGATATGAGCTGTTTTGTTTCAAATTAATAAATAATAAAAATTTGAAGTAACTAACATTTTGTCTTCCTCATAGATATTTCTTACAATTTCATCAATCATGAGTTTATCTTTTAGAAACTCTTCATAAGCTTCCTGCTTCTTCCTCTCCTGTTCCTCGAGCTGTTTATCCAGCTCTTGCTGGTACATTATCTTCTCCTCATTTCGCCTCAGTTCTGCTGAAGCTTCTTCTTTCATGAACCTTTCGTACTCTTCCTTCATCTCTTGGGCTATTTCCTCCTTCCGTTTCTAGGGGCAAAAAGCAATGCATGATAACTTTTTACTCCCACTACTACAACTTGTAATCAGAAAACATGCAGTACAAAAAAAAAGGAATTAAGCTGCAGTACCAAAAGGAAGGTTTTCCACCTCAAGCTATAAATAGAGAGCCTTAACATGCTTAATAGATAAATGCAGTCAGTAGAGAGCCCTCAAGATCTAACCAACCTGAGAAGCACTAACAGTACTTAAGGGACAAAGTGTTGGGCAGGAGTGGAACTCACTCACATCAGCAAAATGACTGCAGTGAGGTTGGAATGCAGAGAACAGCTTGATCAGTATGTTGCCTTCTCAGCAACCTGCCTACCCTAAACTCTGTATAGAACAACATAACCAGAATACCATTTCATTCAGAAATAAAAGTTCACAATTCTTTCTGAAGTTATTCAGGTGTCTTTTCAACTTGAGCATGTTTTCAACAACCTGCCACTGAGCTGAGGATTCACCACAGTCAGCACTTACTGGACAAAAGCTGTCATAGTTTTAACTTGGATAAATAGTACAAAACCATTAAAATAAGAGCTATAACCAATCATACAGCTTAGTTCACTACTCCTTCAATTGCAATGGCAAAGTAAACCTTTTTCTTATAGCTAGTTATTGCTGGTTAATTAATCCTTCATAACACAAAATGTATTTTCAATAGCACTGAATTCCTACAGAATATTTTATACAAACAGGTCAGCTTCCAAGGAAAAACTTTCAGCACAATCCATACAAAGAGTTACAGGACTTGGGTGCTGGGATTCACTGTGAAGCTAATTACCATTTTCTCAAGGTGCAGAGCATTTTTTTCAGCAATCTGTTCATCTCGTTCCTTATTCATATAAGCAGATTGTATCTTTCTTTCTAACTCTCGAAGTTCAGGACTGGAGAGGGGGAAAAAAGGAAATGTATCCTATTAGAAGAAGCTATTAGAAGAAGGAAAAATATTACCTAGGGGAAAAAATTTAATTCCTATCAGTATTAAAACACAATTTTAAAAAACCAAACTTCAGGGAAAATCCCAATTTTAGATGTAAAATATCACTCTAGTAAAAGGGCAGATAAAGAAAAAAATCAATTTAAAAAAAAGAGTTACCTATATTTGTACATGTGCTGTCACCAGCTCTGCACATTTCACATCTATGTAAGTACAGGTGACATATATGTACACATCAACATGTGTGTTCACAGATATGCCTAAGTGTACACATACATGAGCATATATTCAGAATGAAAGTTTTGTGGAACAGAGTATTATCCTCTTAACAAAATTTGCTTAAAATTATCTTTTTATCATCCCTTGACCTTCAAATAACTTTTCCTTCCAGACCTGACTGATTTCCACTTCTGCGACAACTTTCTCAACTCATCATAACGGCTGCTTTGATACAGTTGGGAGATTTTTCGAGACGTTACCTGTTCGCTCTGACTTGTTGCCTGATCTTTTTGTCCTTCAGCCTCTCCCGGTTGCGCCGGGCCTGCTCTGCCTCGAGTCTCTCCTCCTCCTCCAGCTGCAGCGCTCTGTGCCTGCGGCTCTCCTCTGCCTGCCGGACACACAATTCCCAACACGTCTCCTCGCAGCGCCTTTGGGGCAAGGCGAAGCGCAAGACTATGCACTCAGCAAACGCGTTTTAAAGGAGAAAACCTTTGGCAGGTCAAGGTGGAGCCGGGCAGAGCTCCGCGGTGCGAGCGCGGCCGGACACGGCGCTGCCCTGTGCTCGGCGGCTCTTACCATGCGCTGAGTC